ATGTAGTCTTTCACTGCCTCCTCCCTCACATCATGGGCCTCCTCCCTAGCCTTGGTTGCATCATCAACATACCACTTTATCTAGCCCTCCAAGAACTTGTAGGCATCTTGAGCCCCAGCCAGCTCCAAATTTGCCTTCTCCAAGGCTTCAACAATCACCTTTTGGTGGTCATTGAAAGCCTCCACTTTCTTAGTCAAGGAGGCCACCTCGCATAGGGACTCATACACCTCCTTCTTCAACGCTTCAATCTGAGCCAAGGCAGACTCCAACTTAGCCACATCTTCAAGTTTTTGGGCCCTCGCTTTCTCCGCCTCGGTTCTTGCTCCCTTTAGCTCCTTTGCGAGGGAGGCCATCTTCTTCTTCGAGGACTGGGTCCTCGTTTGGAAGTCAGTAAGGGCCTCCTTGGACTCCAGTGTGAGGCCAAAGGTCTTCACACTTTGGCTTACGAGGGCCCTTATCAAGTCTATGGCGTCACATGAGGAGGCATGCAACTGCCACCAATCCGTCCAAAATTTGTAGAAGCTTTCTGTGGAACTTCGGATCTCAGGTGGTAGAGCCTCCACTAATGTTGGAGCTAGAACCTCCTTCCTTCCGGCAAGGAAGCTCGGAGACTTTCCTTGCACCCTGGCAGGCCTCTGCTTGGCGGTCTCCTCCTCTACAGCCTCAGCTGCCCTCCTCGCAGCCTCTTCCTTTGCCTTCTCAGCCTCGGCTCATAGAACCATCTCTATTTTTACCGCTTTCGAGGCGGATGCAAAGAGCTTCAGCTGAGTGACTTCTCTGCCTACATGGGACACGGAGGTCCCAAATTTTCCTGATGAGCTGGTGACATGCACCAGCTTCCTCTTTTTCGACTCTTCGAGGACTTTCTCTTTTCCCCGAAGCTCTTTAGCCTTCTCCGGCTTCTGAGGTGCCCCCTTTTGGAGAGCCCTTGAGCTTCTGTCCTTAAAGAGGCACTCAACCCTACCCCTAGCCTCTTTGGCACCACTGGACCCCGGCTTCAGAGGCCTCACCTTCACAGTGGATGTGGCCTTAAGTATAGAGGCCATGTCAGGGGCTGGGTATTCCCTCATCTTGAACTTGTATGCAAAACATGTCAACGCATTAGCATCAAAACAAAAAGCAAGAAGTACACAAGTATAGGAGCTTCTTACCCTTGGAGGCCATCAGTTCGAAATCAAGGAAGTATCGACTTCAGTCAATGAGGTGGTCGAAGTGGCGAAGCTTGAGAGGTCTCTTATAAAGCACTTCGAACTCCTCCTTCCTCAACTCGAACCTCGTACTGCTATCTGCAAACGAAGCCCCAACAGTTAGAGAAAAAAGAAATTTGAATACAGAATGCAAACTACTTAGGCTGGGAGACTCACGAGCTTCACAGTACTGGGTTGGTACTATGCAAGCCAGGGCTGTGTCTCCCTCCACCGCCTACCACCTGCCCATCACCCAGAACCACGACTCCTTTTACCCCTTAATGGAAGAAGGCAACCTCAACACGAATGGCGCATGAGCCCCCCCCCCCCCCAAAGAGTTAAGTAATACCACCCCCTTGACTCCTTACCTATTACCCTAGAGTGGAATAGGGTCATGAAGACGTGGAAAGGCATATCCTCCCCAAGGGAAACTTCCTTCCATGTGAAGTACGAGCCAACCAACTGACTTCACCCATTTGGCAGAACCTAAGGCAGTGACAACATGAAGTTCCTCAACACCGCCCTGAAGAAGGGGTGTAGAGGAAGACGCATACCTGCTTTAAACAGGTACTCGATCACTGCCACATACCCAGGGCTCGGACAGCAGGCCCGCTCATGGGCCTCGGGTATTAACATCTTTACATAATGAGGTACACAGTACCTCTCCCTAATCTCCCCCAACCTCTTCCCTGTCATGTTCGAAGGGACCCTAGATGCCCCCCACTCCACACTGTAATCTACTGCCTCCTTGGTCATAGCATACTGCTCAACCTCGGAGTCCCCCCTGTAACTAGCCCCCTGACCGAATGACGCGACGGTGACCAACTCCCTACCCGAGATGGACTCCATTTCAGAAAATGACTAAGAACACAATACAAGGGATTTTCTGTAAAAATACCTACGTGGTTACTACGCCGACGAAATGCTGCCGGAAAATCAAGGGACAAAGAGCTTCGACGCCGAAAAACTTTAGCTTTGGAAGAAAAATTGGATTGCAAATGGTAGAAAATCCAAGACAATGAGGGTCTCTCACCTTTTATAAAGGGCCAGGACGAACCCCAACTGTCTGATCAAAGCCCATCCAATCTGAACTCTTCATTCTTAATTAAATTCGAGGCGTAGAATTCAAACGATTTTTCAAACCTACGTCTCAGATTTAAGCGTGTCCCCTACGCACCTCCTCCAACGCATCTGCTTCTAGAAGCTCTAGCTGTTCTCATAATTACGATTTTAATTCGACGGTAGCAGGTACCTTGGAAGTTGTAACCGTTCAACCACTTTTTCTCGAAAATATGCGCAAAACATCAAATCACTGGCACAGCTGTCGAGGAACAATTATTGTCAGTGTGCCTCAGAATTCAGCCATCAAGCCTCGTAGGTTCGGTTTCTTAACCACCTCGGTTTCTTCATCACAATTCAGTCATCAAGTCTCGCAGGTTCAGTTTCTCAACCACCTCGGCTTCTTCCTCATAATTCAGCCATCAAGCCTCGTAGGTTCAGTTTCTCAACCACCTCGGCTTCTTCATCACAACTCAGCCATCAAGCCTCGCAGGTTCTGTTTCTCAACCACCTCGACTTCTTCCTCATAATTCAGCCATCATGCCTCGTAGGTTCGGTTTCTCAACCACCTCGGCTTCTTCATCACAATTCAGCCATCAAGCCTCGCAGGTTCGGTTTCTCAACCACCTCGACTTCTTCCTCATAATTCAACCATCAAGCCTCATAGGTTCGGTTTCTCAACCACCTCGACTTCTTCATCACAATTCAGCCATCAAGTCTCGTAGGTTCGGTTCCTCAACCACCTCGGCTTCTTCATCACAATTCAGCCATCAAGCCTCACATGTTCGGTTTCCCAACCACCTCGACTTCTTCATCAAAATTCAGCCATCAAGCCTCGCAGGTTCGGTTTCCCAACCACCTCGACTTTATCATTCTCATCACTTCTCAGACAATAACAAATCTCTAACTCCAACCATGATATAAATATCTATACTTGGACTTGGGGGACTATTATTTGGGGTACAAAAATTTCTTTCAACTTAACTGGCTGGCTTTACTTCATCAAAGTCCTCGCATTACATAAATGACTATACTTGGACTTGGGGGACTATTGTTACATGTTCGCACACTTAGGCAACACACCGAGGCCCACATCCAGTTCATGCCGAACCACGTGGCACTCAATCTGAGGTGATTTGCATAGCCGATGCCCATTTATCCATGCCTCATGAGGAGATTCTGAAGTCCATATGCCGAGGCCCTCTTTGCCAAAACTCCTTAGTCGAGGTGACAGCATCCGAAGCACAAAGCAACATCTTCCATAGACACCTCTTCCAAGAGATCTTCTACACAAAGATCTTACTTGAATAATTGATAGGACGTTTGTCATGAGTGTAAATGTTAAGTCTTGTCACTAGTAGAGGCGGCTCTGCCAATCAATAAATGTATAACAGGCTAGGTGCGACTGATGTCTACAATTTGACATGTAACTCAACCGGATGATGCCATGTATACCCCGAACCAAAGGTCACGATCTAACTAGTAACATTATAAATACTCTCTCATGTATCTCATACAGAGGCGAATGCAAGAATCAATACAAGAAATCATAATTTACTCAACTCTCTCTTTCTTATTATTGCAACATAAACGAGTTCATATATATTTAGATACACATTAGCAAACATCGATTGGTAATTATTATACAATCGGTCTACGATCATCTCATCGAATTCCGAACGTTCTCGTCCCGCGTCGTTGAGCTACTCCCACGCCCTTGATCTGTCCTTTTTAGACCGTCCACGTATTTTTGCGTATTGAACTTTCGCTTACATGAGCGCAGGTGGATCCGATATCTGTTGGCAACATTAATTGAGGTCAACACAACTTTCAACAATTCATACCAATACAATCTTTTACGTCACAAACTTATTACAAAACATTAGCCATCTATACGTAAAAACCTTCCCTTATCTACATTTACACCGTGGAAATTAAGATATGGATTTCAGTGAAGAGAATAAAGAATGTAAAAGATGAAAATCATTTCAGACACGGAGAGAGAGAGAGAGAGAGAGAGAGAGAGCATAAATGTGCATGCTTAAGTTTGCATAAATGAGGTGTTGAACCTTTTAATCGCATACACAAATAACCCTCCATCCAACTACCAAAAGACTGTCCTGCTGTGTACACTTCATATCAAATCTTGCACCATAAAAATAGAATTCCATGAAAATGAGTTTGATCAAAATTTGTCAAGTCAAACTGAGGTACAATTCCGACACGATTATTTTCAAGCTCATAAATAAAAATAAATAAATAAATAAAATTCATTCATGATAACATTTTCAATAATTTATTGCTTAAAATTCAAAACAAGCGTGCTCAACATTTTAAGAATCAATTAAAAAATACATATTTTGCATAGGGGAAGGAAGAAAGACAAAAGAAAAAATATAAAGGGGAAAGGGAGTTAATTGTTTCGATGGCCACTGAATTTAGGTTCATGTCTTTGATATTTTGGTCACTGAACTTATGTCTATATTTTTGGTTGCTCACTTGTCGAGTTTTGATCACTAAACATTAAAAAATGTCGTACGTTACTCACTAGGAAAACTATTGAATTTTGGAAAATATCGATTTTACAATGAGTAATGTGTAATATTTTTCAAAATTCATTGATCAAAACTCGATATTTTAAATTTTAGTGAGTAATTTAAGATATGGACCTAAGTTAAATAATCAAAACTCGATATTATAAACTTCAGTGACTAATAAAAAATATGAACATAAGTTCAATGCTCATTGAAACAATTTACTTGGGAAAGGGTATGGAGAAAAAAATGCTAAAGCCCTTCCCTTCCATTTTCCGTCAAATTACCGAAGCTGCAAAGGGCTTAGGACTCGAAGAGAATATGGCGTCATCGTCGAGTAGTGGGCTAACATTCAAGCTTCATCCACTATTCATTGTCAACATTTCCGATCATTACACTCGGATCAAGTCCCAGTCTTTACCCCCTCCCTCCACCCCTCACGCTGCCTCCGCCTCCAACGGCGCCACCTCTGATTCCTCTTCGCCGCCTCAGCAGCCTCCGCCCCGAGTATTCGGATGCGTCATAGGAGTCCAACGCGGCCGTACTGTCGAGATATTCAACAGTTTTGAGCTCCTATATGATCCCTGCACTCACTCCCTGGACCGTGCCTTCCTGGAGAAAAAACAGGAACTCTGTATGTACTTCACTTATTTATTCATGTTTGTTTCGTTTTGGGTGGTGGAAATTGAAAGTAATGATTTTGATGCGTTGAGCAGATAAGAAGGTGTTTCCAAATTTTTATATACTGGGATGGTACTCGACAGGGAGCGACGCCCAGGAATCTGATATGCAAATTCACAGAGATGTGAGTGTATTTTTTTTATTTTTTTATTTTTCACTCTCTTATTATATAGTTCTATTTTGATGGAATAAATTTTGCTCAAAATTCGAGCTGAGACTGGACTCGAATATTTTGAGATCATGCGAGTAGGGTATGCAATTTGAATGATATCACTGCGATTCCTAACAGAAAGATCTTACATATGGAATATGAGGGAGAATGTGATTTTGGATTGTAGTTGAGTATACAAGTCTAGCAAGAGCAAGATCAGATAAAACAAGCTGGGAATTTCGAAATACATTTATATAGTATTTCATTGTTTACATTGAGGTTGAAAATGTTCATCCTAATACTGGTTGTTAGGGAAATTTCTAATTTTACTAATTTATGTCATGTCACGTGTTGACATGCTTAGATTTTAAAGTGTTGCTACTCACTGCCTTGATGATGAATATTATCGGCCTCTTATTTGCTGCTGATATGTTATTTGTCCGCTCCTGGTTAGATAAAAGGAAGGAACTACACTATGCTCGAATATTTTAAACATTTTTCACTGTTCATAATGACCTCACTAGATTCACCTATGATTTTTTTTCCTAATATACTTGTTGCAAAAACAAACACAGTGAGTTCGAGTTTATCAAATGCTGGCTCCGTAGTGCTTTAGATGCTGAAATAATACATATTAGGTTATATTATGCCCCTCTTTGATCCTTATTTTTTAAAACTCATATTTTCCCAAACTCATTTTTCAATACACATTTTATGTGATTCACAATTTTCATCAACTTTTTAACCGCACATATCATCAACATTTTATCAAAATCTATTGAAAAATTAATTTTTAGCTAAACCAAACAAGGCTGATATATGTGATAGCAGTAGATCCATATATGCATCCCTAATTCTGATGACATATTGTGCTTCCTGACAGTTGATGGATATCAATGAGAGTCCTCTATATGTTCTTCTCAATCCGTCAATAAACCCGGCCCAGAAAGATTTGCCAGTTACTATTTATGAAAGTGGTATGTATTTATTATTGCGCTGTCATGTGATACACTTAAAAGCGGATGAAATTCGTAGGCACTCTATGGAACAAAATTGCTATATAAATGATATCCATTTCAAACCAGCAACTGCGGGAACTCAATTCAACTTTGAAATGTGAAGATCTGAGGTTTAATGAGTGTAATACATCATATGACGTGGTTCGAGTAAAAATTCATCCCAAAGTAAATAGTACTTAGAAATGGGATATCGCTCAAAAGTATGTTTAGAAAATGTTTTATTAGATTATAAGTTGCGGATCCTATAAAATGTGTGGATAACAGGTAGGTAAAAGTATGTAAAAATTGTGGGTACTATGGAATGTGTGCATAAAAAATAGAGTATAAGCTTTGCAAACTTGCTCTTACCTACAAACTTGCTCTTACCTACCTATATGGCTATCTAGAGTGTTAACGACTTGCCACCTTCGATGAGTTAAAGGATAGAGCACTCATGAATTAGGATAGATACAAGTGGTTCCAATTAATGACATATCAAATTAGTTCAAAGATTCTTCTATCATGTTTACATGGTTAACTTAGACAAAATAGTTTTAAGTTGTAGACACCATTGCACAAATTCCCGGGTCAAAGAAATAATTTTTTGCATTAAAATTTCGATAGGTGGAAATTTGTCGAGAATATTCTAAAATTTTGGTGAAAGCTTCTAAATCCATACACGTTTCGCTGGGACACTTAACAGATACCATCCGTCCCTGGTTGGGAGAGTAAAGTAAGTAGTTTCACATATTGAAAAGCCTCTTTAGACATCCTAATTATTTTTTCATGGTTCACTTTGTGTATGTAGTAATAGGCTAGCCACATCAAAATTATCAAGCACCTTGAGAAAGCCTGGAGCAGTGTTGAGGACATATTCTTAATTGATTATGGATTTACCCCCAAAATTTTTTATTGTTTACATTTCAATCATGAAATTTACTCCAGAAAACCATGCCACCATATTTGACAATGTTTTACTTGTTTTGCACAATAGGCTACAATACTTGTGTTCACTCAATCATAATACCTGCTAATTTGATTATTTTTAATTATGATTTATATGAAATTTTATTAATTATAATTTTTCTTTCTTCTCAACTAATTATTATCTCTCAAGAGTTGCATGTGATTGATGGGATCCCCCAGCTTATTTTTGTTCAGTCCAGCTACACAATAGAGGTATGTTCTTCACATGTTTTCAGATTGTATTTCGCACAAGTTTGACATCAGGAAACTTAAATCTCATTTTTACTTGCTTGTCAGACAGTTGAAGCTGAACGAATCTCCATCGATCATGTCGCCCATCTTAAACCATCTGACGGGGGTTCAGCTGCAACTCAATGTGAGTTTTTCCTCTTTTTAAATAAGTTCTCAGGTGATATAAGTTATCCCTAGCTGTTTCTTTGGAAGTTATGGGACAGATATTTCTTTTGTTTGGTTCAGATTTTTCTTGTTGGTAGTACGTGGATAGGACTTACAAATGAATTTTGTTTGTAGTGGCTGCTCACCTTACAGGCATACACAGTGCCATTAAGATGCTTAATAGCAGAATCAGAGTACTTCATCATTATCTTCTTGCAATGCAGAAAGGTATTTTCAACTAATTTTGAGGACTTTATGATTATTATTATTATTATTTATTTTTATTTATTTATTTATTTTTCTTTTTTTTTTTGGTGTGGGTTTCATTTTGATTTGTGTATAGGAGGATTTCTTTTTTACAAAATGATTCTCGTGATCTGTTTTAAGTTTCACAGTCTAATAATGCCTAGAACATCTTTACTAGATTCAAGCATATCTTGTTCTTAGAGAGCTTTGGTTGGCTTCCTTGATATGCCTATGAGATGAAGGGCAAAATTGTCTGTCTCATTGAAGGACCTCAGCTATAAGTTGTTAATTGAGTTACTGCTGCATTCAGGTGATATTCCTTGTGAGAATTCATTGCTAAGGGAAGTATCTAGTCTCTTAAGAAGATTGCCAGCCATTGAATCTGAAAAGTTTCAGGATGATTTCTTGATGGTGAGTACTTTTACAAACTTGTGATTTTCCTTGAGATAATTTACTTAGCAGTATTATGAATGCTTCACTTGCTTATGGGGGTTAATGGATAGGTGGGGAGTTCTTGTCTACTTTTGTACCCATTGCATTTTTCTTCTGTATTTCTCGTTTGCTCAAATTGATTCTCACATTCATATGGTGATTGATTTTAAGTAGCTTAGACATGATCTTGGATTAAGTTATTTATTTATTTATTTTTTCTGAGTCTAATATTATAATTATTTGCAGGAATATAATGACACATTATTAATCAGTTACCTTGCCATGTTCACCAACTGCTCGAGGTATGTTTAAATTAGCCTTTTAGTTATCTATTTGCATTTAGAAGATGGAATCATTGACTTTGATGATAAAAGGAAGAAGCAAAGTATCATGGGTGAAAGCAGTTGGACCAGTTTCAAATTACGCATGCAAGATTAATTATTCTCTTAGAATCAATTATGCCTAGCTCGTCTAAGTTTTGGCAAGACCTAGTTTAACGGGGCACCTTTCTTCTTAACGCAGAAAGGGGAACAGTACGGCAGTAGTCTACTCTGCTCGACTACCTTTCGCATTTCCACGGTCGTTTTGGGACGAAAGACAATTTGATTACAATTTAAAGAGAGCTTTGTAACAGAGAATTTGAATGAATTGAAAATGATTTGTTTATTGATTGATAAACAGAAAATTACAATTACTAGTGTTGGGAGCAAACACAAGTGATCTTGACAAGATTTTCAAATGCCTTATACCCTTATAATAGCTTAAGGAAAACCTAAATGACATGAGTGGACTTTTAAATGACGAGGAATTATGCTAAACGTTTATAAATAGCAGGATTATTTTACAACTCAAATAAATTATTACAACTTAAAGAAAATTACGACTTAAACAAAACATTTATAAAGTGCGGCCGAAGTTGGGCAAATTGCGGCTGCGAATGGGTCAAAGTGATAAGTATATTTGCGGTCCTTGACACCTCATCTTTCTTATGGTATGTGGGTAAAGTTTGTATAGCATTTGCTGGAAGGAACGCAATTTTAATGATTTTACTTTAGTATAAATTATAATATTTTGCTAAAATTTTACCCTTGGTAATTTCTTGGATATCTTCAGAACCAGTGATTTCACCAGAAATTATCCATTTTTCTTCCATCTAATAGAAATTGCCAGGATTCTATCGATATATACAGTTCACTTGGTTTCGGCGCATCAATGAATTTGACAGCTTTATATATCACAGATTAGTTTTAAGTTGCCGCATGTGATATGTATACTTCCTTTGTCCTTTGGGCAGCACAATGAACGAGCTGGTCGATAAATTCAATACTGCATATGACAGGCATAGTCGGAGGGGTGGACGGAGTGCTTTTATCTGAAATCCAATCATCATCATCAACTGCCTGCATGGTCAATCTCCTTTTGAAGCTGATGCACATACCAGATATTTTTTGAATGGAACTCTATGAATTCATGATATTGCAGGAATCGAGTATCTTTGAGAGGATTTTATCCAGGTCTGTTTATCATTTTTATATGCTTGGGAAAGATTAGATACGTTACATCGAGTTGGTGCACATTTGAGTATTGCTGAGACCTAGTACTTATTTATAGACTATAGTCTATTGTCCCTCGTGTACGTGACCTTCTGGCACAATTGTTATGAGTGGAGCTTTTGTTAGTAGAGTTTTTTTCAACGAAAGTTGTTTGTTTGGCGGTCCACCTAAAAAGTGCTACCAGCCAAACTATTCTTCAAGAATCACCAGCAGAACTGAAAACAGATAATATAAGCATGTAATATTTGCAGAGAAGACTGTGCGCTATTGAGAATGGTTCGGTTAACTCATCTATTAAATATCTTGTTAAAAACCCAAAATTTCTCGTGGAGGAAAAATAAGCAAGATAATCAAGATTAACTGCCATTAGATTTGTGGAATTGCCATCCATCATGACATCCAACTTCACAGCCTTCAAAACACAGATTCAGCCATGGTCTCTTTCTGCTTATCACTGTGCAATCATCTCTTTAGTAACCAAAGAAGTACTGCAAGCCATCTTAAGCTGACAATCAAATTGAGAACCTCATGCAATGATGAAGGTCGAGATTAATTCTATTGGATCTCTCAGAAAGGCACCGGATAATTCAGTCTAGTGCACAGAATTGACAGAGATGAGATGCTGAGACGAGCCTAGAGATTGCAACCCAGTGTTCGTCAAGTCACAAGGCAGTTTTGTTAAATGCTTCCTCTGTCTTCAAGGTCCAGCTCAAGTAAAAGTGGAAGAGAATTAGCAACTAAAAGTTTAAGCCCCTGTTTGTCAACTTTTATCAACTTTTCAATCATATTACATCAATTTTGAACAAAATCTATTGAAAATCGATTTTTAGCTAAACCATATAGGGTTTAAGTGTGTAAATTTATCATAATGATAAACTGTTGTGTGTAATGTTTCAAGATTAATTTATCGTTTATCATATCTATCATTTTATGATAATATTCTTGTTGTAAATATGGTAATATTTATGAATGACAATTATATCTTTACAGCCTTAGTTAATATTACTGTTTTATTCTTTGTAGCCATAATTTTTCTATAATTATAGGTTTTAATTATTGATAAAACACACAAATTTATTGACTTCTCTATTTTTTTTTCTCTCTATTTTTATAACACATTATTAGCTCAATTATTTCATAATCAAAGTTAATTTATTAGATGTTAATAATTTTTTATCACATGTACCGAAATCAATTTGGAGACGTGTCCCCCCCCCCCCCCCCCCCCCCCCCCCCC